CTCCATCCTGCCTGGAGAATGGAAACAGGGGTGCTTATTATTAACAGCCTGCTGAAATGTCTACCCAGTGGCAAATAAAAGACCAGACGCCATTAGCTCCTGTCGTAGTAGTGCCAAAAGAAAAAGATTGTATAGAGGGAATGTGTTTTTCCATGCCAATCGAACAATTTCCAACTATCATTAAAATGTTTCAATCATGTTATTATTGCAATCTTTTTACCATAGAGAAGCATTAAGTATGTTTTGCAAGGCGAAGTTTTATTTTTTCTCTTCACAAGTTCATAATAACTCCATCTTTTTAAATGCCAAATAGGTAATTTTACTGTACTAATTTTACTCTTAAATAGCTGGTGTGCCATGCATTTGAGTTTTCCTACTTTTGAGAGAAGACAGTAATATAGATTTTGGCACCTTCCTGTTTAACCTAGTTAAGCAAAAACGAGGGAGGTACATCTCAGACATGTGCAGGTCCATTTATTGTGGTGGTTGCTGAGCTTGAACATAGTCCTGGAATGACGACCTTCTTATTTAGAGCAAGAACATATCTGAAGAATGGAGGGCTACATCTTCTGGACCCTTACGTCCACGTACATCATCCATGAGGAGCAGAAGTTGAAGGGTATTGGCTGAACTGTGCACACAGCTCATGTGGCTCATGTGACCAGGGGTGGAAGGCAGTTTGGACTGGTAACATAGCAGCTCAGCTGCTAAAAGCAGACTCCCACCAAGGCTGCTGGCAACATTTCAGTACTCATCAATGGTGAGCATCCCCTCCCTGATGGCTTTGGGGATGGGGAAAACAGCTCTATGCCTCTCTCTCAGCTGCTATAGCCTTGCTGACTGCTCTCCTCCAAAGGATGCTCATTCCAGCACTGCCACTCACCCTGTGCTCGAAGGAATCACTTTTTGTTCTCTTGTTTTTCCCCCCATGCATAAATCTTGTCAGCTTCAACCTAATTGCATCCTTTTCCGACAGACTGTCTCAAGAGCAATGCAAATGAGCTTTGAAATGTGGAGATCTGGTTTATATTTGTCAGTTAATTGCCTGAGTGGCACAGACATCTAGAGCTGGCACCTGCCTCCTTGTGTTAAGTTCCATCTTTGATTTCAGACTCCATGCTGCATGTAGAAGATGAGCGAGCTCCTGATGGAGGAGGATGTGCTCTTTGGGCACTATCTTGCTTTAGGTGACAGTGATCTAAATTCCTCAGACTGAGTCTGTTTTACACTGCAAATTCTGATCACAGAGGCTGTGGTCCGATGCAAAACAGTACGTTCACTTCTATGTGATCTGACCCAGTCTTCACTCAGTGAAGCCCCAGCCTTCTTGTTCATCTGCCTGTCCATGTTGTGTGACCATATGGATCTGTGGTGCGCATGAGTGGACTTGCTTCTCCCTGATATTTGACTCTGGAGTGCTTATGGACACGAACAGGACACATCCCTTAGTAGATTGTCCGATTCTGAACACAGACGCTGGAAATAATAGGACATTTTGTTCTTTTTCAACATCTTTAGTTTAAGAAATTTCCTCACACTTAAACATTAAGTCGTGAAATTCAGCCTGTATTTCTTTCGCACCTCATTTCATCCCCTTGTCTTCATTCAAATCCATGTCAGCTTTACCCAAACTCCCAGCAGTGCACAGATGAAGCTAGTCAAGTACAGAGCTGGCTCTCATACCAAATGTCTGAAATCAACCTTGTTTTCTTTCCCACACACTTCTGTCTTTTTTGCTCTCTCTCACTCTTTTTTTTTTTTAAACAACAAGATGGCAATCAGCTATACAACAACATATTTTCTGAGAAAACCAGTCTATTGGGCTGTGTAAGATTTGACTTCCCTCCAGATAAGCCTTACTGCTCCTGCTGCCTCTGCCAGGGTCTCCTGCAGCAGCAGATCAAATTAACTGAGTACCTTGCAAAATACTCCACTACAAACAATGCATGCTTGAAACTACACCACGGCCCTAGTCATAGCTCTGACATTTTCTAGTTCATCCCAATGCAGAACACAACCGACACACATTGGAAAGGTTTGATGTCTTCCACTGACACAAATGTCATGGTATCTCCATGCTGCATGACAGGTACATTAGAAATGCATAGACCAACTTATCTGTGCTGCAACAGGAATCCGGGGTGGATGACTTCAAGGCTGGAAGCATCAGCCAACATAGGTCTGCACAGCAAAAACTTCACTGTCTCTGTGGTTCAATTTTCCAAACACTGAAGAAACTGAAGATACACTGATTCATAGCAGCTCTGAGGTTTTGTCCCAGATCATTCATCATCTTTTTCATGGAAGCAACAGGCAAGGGTTGTTAGGACAGAGCAGAAAGACCAGGCAGTCAAATACATGTGCATGTACATGTGTGGGATCAAGAGCTTAAATCTCTGTGAAACCTGGAGGAGGGATAAAATTGACATCTTGCATCTGCTGCTAGGGAGCTGGAACCATCAGGCAGGAACTGTAACAGTCTGTGCAAGGAGAAAGCACTGGAAGTGATGTGGTTTCACGAAGAATTTGCTTTTCTTTAAAAATCCATTGAAGCCTACGAAATGCAAAGACAAGTCTTATTTCAAGAAATGGAACCACAAAGGCACAGGGAGGAGGGAATTGTATTCAGGGGAATATCACCATGCTTGCCCTGTTTTCATATTCTTTATGGACTCTTAGTTGGTCACATAAGTCCTTATTCTTGTTTTGCTGGTGGGGAAATGCAGCTAGTTAGTGTTAAGGCTTGAAATCATCCCACAGCTGGATTTGAAGCTGTGTGGGTTATCCAGCTGTTAGATATGGTTTGCACTTTTACACAGAAGAAACAGATGGCATTACAAACTCCTATGCTGCGGGCTGGTGTCTGTTCGCTTCTCCCAGGAGCAGTACGCTGATCTTTGCTCTTGACAGGCAGCTCCATCTTTCTCCGTTGAGACAAACTTATCCTGCCTGTATCTCCATCAGAGTGAGCTGAATAACATCAGGGTTGAATGTGGGTCTTGCAGATTTTCGCACTGTTGCCTTTGGCAGCACTGCGGTATGCAAACACGGCTGAGGTTCAATATTGGCAGTTCTTTGTATTTGTTGCAGAGAATAAATGAGGTGGAGGCCTATATTTTCCCTGTATTCAAGCTCATATTTTTTCATAGCATATAATTAACAAAATGATCTGATTAATCAGAAAGGGGAATTTTTAAAATCAGCCTTGTGATTCTGCACTTTCACTGCTTACTAACAAACTAATACATGCTGCCCCAGGGTATTTCCCGCAGAATAACAACCAGATGGGTTATTTTGCTTCAAGCTGTTAACCTGAGCGGATTACTAAAAGCCTGGAAAAGGCTTATATACTTCTGCCCTTTATTGATGTAGAAAAAGTTCCACAGAATATCTTTCTTATATTTGCCCTTAGCACTTTTCCAGAAGTACAAGGTTGATCAGCTTCTTTTGATACAGGAACAATTTTTAAACATTTAGTCATATATATCTGAAGTGTTTGCTAATATGTGGTTTCTATTTTCAGTGCCTTAATGAACAATTTTTGGGGCTCATTTCCATTGAGGCTGATCATTTGCAGTGCTCAGTATTGAGTTATGGCATCCCATTTTATATCCTGCTTCTGCCCATGCTAAAAGCCTAATTTGGATCTGCAGATTACGTCCTGGGAATAGACACTGAAACTTCAGCATTGCAGAGCTGGAGATGGTGGCATCTAAAGTCCTTTTTGGATCAGTTCCCAAGAAACTACCCACATAAATTTGTGTTGGTCTGCCTTGTAACTTGCCTTTGCAGTTCCTACTACATTGCTTTCTGTTATGCTAGTTACCCCAGGCACATTAAAAAAATACACCAAGTCTGCCTCTGAGTCTAATAATCCTCATGTCAGTTTTATTTGTTGCACAGAGGAGAGGCTATAATAAACATAAAACAAAGAAATGAGGAAATCGTCATTACAGAGTGCTTTTACTAATATCTTGTACTAATAATCACAGTTGTCTATTTGGAAAGATGCCTTCAATCTGTTGATTTATTTTATATTAGCAGTGCTGTGAATGTTGGCTTCTCTGCTTTTGTAAGACAAGCAGCGGAAAGAGGGCTGCCTCACAGGAGAGCTATGGAAAATTAGCTTGGTCTTTTCTGTAAATACTGTTTTATGCCCATCAGCTGGAAGATTATTCAGAGTAATTGAGAGGACTCATTGCCTCAGCCTTTCTGTTTACTTCTGTCAGGCCAAATTCTGTTCCTGCCTGAATCGGTTGGAATCTTCTTGCTGACTTCAGTAACACTAGAATACGGACAAAAGCCTTCAGGTGATGAGTTGCGATGGGTCACTGACAACCTCATGGTCACCGTGGACAGAATGTCTCCCTGAATGCAGGCTTCCTGCAGCGGTACCCAGACAAGCTCCATGGAAGGTTCACAGCCTGCACCTGTCCTGTTGGGTGGGGAAAACCCAGCCGGCTGCAGTTGCATTCTCCGTACAATAACATTGGAACCCACTGATTTGCTCACCCACATAAGGAAAATAGGACTGTTTTCAATTTTACTGATTGTTTTTTAAATCTAATCAGATTTCACTCTTGAAATGAGATAATGAGGTAGCTCTGGCAACCACTGAGTGTGAGGAACAGGGCAGGGCTGTTTTCTGAGTGCTGCTGTGTACCACCAAGTGCCCGTCCCTTTCATCAGGCAGCTCTGAGACCCTCTTCCTCAAAGAAGACAGAGTCCTTGCTTTAGTTATGGCACTGGTCAAAGCCTACTCTTCCTCACAGCTCTTGGCCAACTTCATTGGGCTGCTTTCAATATACTTTAATACCTCTTTGCTTTAGAGCATGTGTATGTTGGTGCTGTGGGGAGTAAGCAGCAGCATCCCAGGAAATGAAATTGCCCAGTGAGGACAGAGACTGCTCAGGATTATGCTCTCAAGCTGTGGTAGCTCATATCAAGAAGGACCACACACTTTTGCTATCTCTTACCTCTGAGGAAAAATGTTGGTTGACCGCAGATCTTACATTATCACTTTATCGTGTTCATAGTCATAGTTCAGAGCTGTAAAGAAAAGCAAAGATACAGTGTCTCCTGAACTTCAGAAGCCAGCTGATAAGCAAGAGATTCAGCAAATATATGGTCATACAAACAAATACAAGGACAAGTGTTTGTTTGGGAGATCCTTGTTCCCCTGGCTCAGGATTTTCATAATTTACACTTGTATGTGGCTTGGGCACAGGGGGCATGGGGAGGAGGGGCTTCTTCTGCATCTGCAGCAGAGTTGCTACAGGTCTCTGTGTGGTGGTGCCTCTAAGTGGGCTGCTCTGACATGCCACCACAGCTCCACTCGCTCTATGTTAGTGAGCACTCACATTACGGGTGGGAAGCCCAGTTGGATGCAATGTTCTGTCTCTTGTATTTACCTATCCAGACTCCCTTACAAAGTGAGAATAAGCAGTATTATTTCCTGTTCCTGTAATTTTTTTCTGTTACTTGGATCTGGCAAATGTTATTGCAACCTGGTATAAGAGATTTATCTTAGTGAGTTGGCCAGGTTTGTTGAATCCAATACCCACTGTGTGCTACGTATATGGAACAGCAGATCAGGGCTGAGACCTATGGTTATAGCCCCTCAAAACCTTTTTCATTGTCCTAAATTTTTATTCAGAAAACCTAGAAATGTGGAGGGGGAACAGCTTTCCCTGCACAATGATACCTGATCTCAGTTTGTCCATCTGAAGCTTCTGTAAGGATTCCTTCGGTGCCACCAACACTGCAGACTCACTCTTGCACCCCAACCCACAGGGACAAGGTTCACTTTGGTGTGTTCAGACCCACAGATAAATCTGTTCCTGGATACTACCAGCCAAGAGGAGATGCGTGCTTCCATTCAGTGCATGCTCCACTGCAGCATCTGTTCCTACAGAAATAGAGCTCTTCATAATCCTTTGCCTAAATAGTATTTCTGCAGCTGGATTTCATTATGCTTAATTCGTCTTTCCTTGATGAACATTGACTGTTGCAAGTTCTCCTTCTGCAATCCCTAATGCCCAGTGGCAGATAAAAAATCACAGCCTTCCTAAACTTTGATCATATTCAAATATTTCTATCATTTATTTGTTCTACCATGAGAAATTTGCAGGAAGAATACAACATCAGCTTTAAGCATTTGCAATCCTTTTTTCAAATTTATTTTACAAGCGTGAGTGCTGCACTTGTGCCTAGAGAGGGACTGAAGATCCTGAGGATCCAATGGAGCATCCATATTGCAGCAGTGCCAGACTGCAAAGATCAGGGCCTCTTGTTGCACATACAGTCCAAAATCCTTGGGAGAGACAGCAAGAGCCCAAAGACACATGGTTTAGATCAGGTAGCTACAATACAGCAGGTGGAAAAGGGCAGCAAGGAGGGAAAATAAAATGCTGGTTTCATGTGCTCACTGACAACACCAGGGACAGACCTATATGTCCTGATGCCTTTTTAGTAGCACTGCCCAGGAGATCTCAGCACCACAGGTTTGCCATGATATCCACTTCCCTGTGAAAGCTCCTCACTATTCTGCTCAGGCTTCCTGGGAAAAAAAAGCTGCAATTAGGGCAAAAAGGACTCCCTTGGTGCTCTCCAAGGGGGATTCAGCAGCAACAGATGGACCCCACTCAGATGGGTACTGCAGCAATATGGGGGTATTTGGTAGAGAGGCTTTGGAAGCAGGATTTCCTCACTTTGCAGGAGCAAGGGAGATAGTGCGAAATTTAGGTGCCAGCATACAGCCTGCTAGCTGTTTTGGAGCTGATCCCGTTGAACCCTCACCTTGTCTGCCATCCCTCCCTGGCTGTGATGTTAGCTGTGTGCTGACTCCTGGTTTTGTAATACAAAAACTGCTTCACCTTAGGCCTTGCTTCTGCTAATTAATTCTCACAATTAATTTCAGTAACCAGAGTTAATCCTGGTTTTAACTTTGTTGCAGCCTGAAGGACTTCTGAGATATGAAACATTGGGCAGTGAGTGGGGTTGTTTAAAGACATGTTCAAATATAGTTTTTCATACCTGGGCAATCCCAGAAAGACATATAGCTGGTGATAACCTTGGGTGCCAAACATTCTGCTCCACTGACGAAAGCTTCTGATACATCTGAGTGCCACACAGGTTCCTTTCAGCCCCTGACAACTAGTCTACAGACAAATCATGGAAAGAAGGAGCACTGTCATGTTCTCAGCCATTTATTTAAGCTGTGGTTATTGCCTATAGTGCCATTATATTTACACGCGTTACATGGCAGGTGACGTATCTGTTTTGCGTAGTATCACTAAGAGAAGGGTTAGGACATCTTGTAGAGATCCGGCAACAAAAGCAAACATTGTGTAAGAATTAAATACCATTATTTAATAAGGAATTCAACATAGTGTATTCAAGTTCATACATTTATACAACTTCTTTTACTGTCAGTTACAAGCAGGAGGGTAAAGTACATCTCCCTTGGGGTGGTTGTCTGTGCATCACTAATGATTACTGCTGTAAGGAGTCATTACATTAAATGTTCAAGTAAGAGAAAGATTTTACAAAGTCAAGCTATGAGATATGAGGAGTTATTTCAAATAAACAACCCAAGTGTATCTGCTTCTCTCCAAATGTTATCTTAAACTTTAATGTTGGGTTTTCTGGCAGAGAAATCATACTTCAGGCAGACTTTGAACACCCAGACACTATTTTTTTTTTTTTTTTTTTTTTTCTGATCATGACCTTTTCCTGTGGCAGCCTCAAGGAGTTTGAGGAACTGGATTTTCCTCTGTTATACTGAAGTAACTCTTTTGATTGCTGCAAGGTGAATGCTGACTTACCTGTTACCTTACCTGCTAGCATGGATGTGGTGGACTGCCCAAGTGGTCTGTCTGCCATTTCTAATAACAGGGTCATGAACACACTATTCCTAACCCTGCAATTTACCATCATGCAAACAGCTGGAACAAGTTGAAACCAAGCAGAAGACAGTATTGTTACCATATGTATTCCTTATCTTGATTTACTTTCACTGAGTAAGTTTTTAAAGGAGCTTTTAAGAACTCAAGTGCTATCAAGGATTCTAGCCACTTCCAGAAAAAACAAAGACTGCAGGTAGGAAGTTATATTTCAGAACAACATGTTTCAAATGCTGCTTGGTTTCCCCACAGACATTAAAACATGATATATTTTTTCCTGTATTTTTCCCCCAGTCTGAAAGCCAGGATAAAGTGCTACAAGTAAAATTGAAAAGGAAGAGAAGGAGTATTCAGGTAAAATTATCTGTAAGCTTTTCTGTTTTGCAGACTGCTTCTTTTAGGATTGAGAGATAATGAAGGCTTGTGGGAAAAAACTTGTTTACTGATTTACTGTCTGATGCGTTTTGTGTCCAAAAATTAGTATAACTTGAGTGCAAATATAGAGATGCTCAGTGGAGACAAGTTGAATACCTTTAGGATCTCTTACATAGGTCTAGAGCTATGGATCTAATGAAGAACATATCTGTCAAAGCAGAAGACCATCAGGTTCCATGAAATACACTTCTACCTAAGAGGGAGGTGACACACAATTCCAGAGTCCATATCCAACTTGAAAAATGGGATAAATCTGTATGTCCTTCTGGTAAACAGACAACGTGACTCTACGGACCTTGAAGCCACGTGCCAATTTTGAACTCTCTTTAATGACCCATTCACCAATTTCAGAGGCATCAAGTCTGTCCTATTCTAGTGTCAGTGAGAGCAGGACCAGGAGAAAATATTCATGTGTTGCTAACTTGGTCACAAGTTTCCTCTGGCTTGTTAGCTATGGCTTTGTGTGTCATCAGATGTTTGCTCATGAAGTCTCCTTTAACTCCCAATGCCAATGCATATCAAATGGGACAACTCCAGGAGCTTGGCACGGGGACAGTGATACATTCAAAGAGTTGTCTGGAGTGCCTAGGGAAGAGTTTAGACACTTCAAATCCTGTTTCCTTTGAGATAAACCTGAGTTTTGGAGCTGATGGAGCCAGGACCTCAGCTTTCCTCTGCCCCTCACCCTTCGTTTCCTCTAGGCATTACAGTGCACTGGTTACCAAAGGATTTCTCTGAGGGTACTCACTGCTCTACCTGCAACGAACATGTTATGGTTTAATAAGATGTGGCTGGAGCCTGTACCATCATTCTAGTTTAGGACTGGAATGTCTGCTTTGGAAAGTTGCCATTGCTGAACAAATGCATGCACAGGGCTTTTGGGGACCTTCAGCTCACGGGGTGACTAATGATCCCAACAGGGAGGAGGCCTAATCTTGCTGCAGGTACTTGCTAAGGATGCTGCTATACGAGCCTACAGCATTAAGGACAGATTATGAAAAGCCCCTTTGCTTCCTCAAACAGAATGCATCCAGGTCTTTCCATAGCACTTTTCCGGGAAAGTGGCCCAATGAGTAAGGCAGGAGTTTGGATAGGAGTACCCATACTGCCTGGCTCCAGTTGGTGCTGCTTGCTCCGCCCCCTCCAACCTGCTCTGCACAGGTTGGTGTGGGAACTCACCCTTGTGCCAGACTCTCCAAGTGAAGCCTGCAGCACTTCCAGACGTTGTCTGCCAGCAGCTCATGCAGTAAGGTGATTGACCACCCTATTTTTAGGCTATTCTGAACAGGTACATAGACCAAAGCAGGACACCACCCATTTTCATTGTCTTCCGGCAAATCTGATGTCGGTGGCGAAGTACCACTGGCTTCAACATAAATATCATTTGGTCCACTATAAATAGAAGTGGTGTCAGTTTTAGAAACAGTCAGAAATGCTTCCTTCCATTCTCTGCCAACCTTTATCTCCTATATTTAAGCTATTTTTCCATTCCAGTCACTGTTTTATCTTCTCTTTAATGCCTTTGTACAAAAGCCATTAATCTACTGTATGAAAAACTGTCAAATGCTTCTGGAAAATCAAAATATTCTGCTACCCACTAAATTGCCCTTATCTGTCATGGCAATGGTATCTTCAAAGGATTCCTGAAGAGTAGTTAAGCATGACACGATCCTCCTGTGCCTCAGCCTCTGCTGGCTTCCTGTACTTCATCTCTTACTACATCTCTTGAAAAGGCTCCCAAGCCTTTTCCCCATAACAGATGTCCAATTCACTAGCCATTGCTTCCCAGATCATCTTATTTCTATTTTATTTTCTTTTCTTTAATAATAGTAATCCTTGCCAATTTCCAGCTTTCACATAGCATTTCCTATCCTTAGACCTTTTACAAATATAACTGCTTGTTTCCCTAATTCCTGCGCACACTCCCTCAGACACCATGGGGTCTGTGATACAGGATCATGGTGGATTTCTGCCACTTGGTAAATCCTGGGTTCGCTTCTGGACATAGCTTTCTCTTTTACAGCTGGAAGTCTGATTCCAGACTTGAGCAGGCTCTTTTCTCCAACAGCATTTGAAGTCTGCATTTTCCTGACATCCTTTACTTGTTCTCTTAATCATTTTGTGCAACAGCTAATGATTGTTTGATTTTTAAAAGAGAATATGCCTTCGGAAACTAAACCCAACTTAAACCATCTGCCTTAAACATTGCTTCAACACTTCTCCTTCCAACCAGAGGATTGTCTTGGGGACAGGGAGCAGGAATTATTGTCCCATCCCTGGACAATGGGCTGCTGCAGGGAGGTGGAGATAGTAGGTAATTCTGTATCAGCCAGAGACATTTCTGTAGATGGCTTTGTCTTGCTGCAAGAGGCCATACTGGCTCCTGGGTGCCCAAGGTCAGACTGTGTTTAACTACTGTGTCAAAAAGTCCATCTGGATGAGCGGGAAAGGCATCAGACATTAGAGAACACTAACTCTGTCTGTGCTCATTAAAAGTGGAGTTCATTCTATATTATTAGCTCCAGGCTCCAGATACTGTTCAGTACTGACTAAATTCAGATGTGATCATCTCCTCACACACACACACACACACACACACACACACACACATATTGCTGACATCTGTTAATATCCTTCTGGTTCAGTTTCTCAGCCCAGGAAGCACTAACCTTGACACACATATTTAATTTCAAGTGCAGCAAGACCATTGATGGTAAAGCACTTACTGAGCCTGCTTGGATGAATACATAAGTTAATAACTTTCTGTTGGACTCATGTATATGCATGATGTTAATGACAGCTTTTACATGAATTCCTGTAGGGAAACTGTGCACACTCTATATTAATATCCTATTTCCATTTGACTCTGCAATTTCACATATTAATTGATTAACAGCAGCCAGGAGGAATGAACAACAAGAATGCCAGGCTAATTTTTTAAGGGCTGGTCAGCACATAAAGGGCTTAATGGATCTCTGTCTGCAATGGACCCAGCGTTGACCTTACTGAAAGTAATGATAGTGCCGTGCTTTTTTCAACAGCAACTAATAGAGGTTCAATAGCTATACCTCAGTGACAGGAGATCTAAAGAATGTGAATACCACAATGTCTCTGCTTCATAACTAAAAATATTTATGTCTACACCTAGAGTTGCATGACCAAAGTATGAAGTATGAAACTACCAACTGATAGTAACAAATGCAAAAAAAAAAAATAAAAAAATGGGGCACTAAAAACAAGATAAGAATTTCCTTCTTTTTAAAACTACCCTGTGCTCTCCCCATCCTCTCAGCACACTGCTTTTGAACTCAAAAATCACTTCTTGGCACTCAGACTGATCCATAAACAGTTTCAGTATATATGTATGTACATGTGTACTTATATACATATTCTGCAGAAGTTCCCATGTATGGTCATTTTGACAACAGAAACAAAGTTGCCCATCCTCAGTGCTCCTTTCTCTAAAGGGTTTGTGAAGTGCAATTTTCCCGGTTAAAATGAGTCATCTGGACTCTGCAGGTATGTCCGGGGAGGCCCCAGGCTGGTCTGGACTTGCTAACTCAGAGGGGCAGAGATAGGGAGCAAGAAGTCTGTGAAGCTCACTGGTGTCCTGACACTCCCTTGTTACCTTTTTTCCTACTGCCACACCCTGCTGGAGCTCCCAGATCTCTTCAGTAATCCCCAAGGGTTGTCTTACATAGGAGGAGTTTCCTTCTGCTTTGTTAGGATGAATTATGACCACCTTTTCCACTAAAATATAAGGACAAAACCTTGCACATCAGTCAATCTGGTGTGG